TTGGAGTGCATTTGCCAGACCTGAGGTCCTGTGCAAATACACTGCACTCGAGTCTGGAGAGATGAGCTGGAGCCTTTTCCCTGATTCCCTTCACTGTCCCAGTTCTGCTCACCTTGGGCGTGAGCTTGGGTATCTCTTCAGTTGTGAAGCCTTTCTTTAGCCGCCCTACAGTGCCCCTCTCCCTACATACACAGTAGATAAAATCTCTCTTATTATATGCTCTCAGAGCACCATGTTCCTTTTCTTTATCACAGTTGTAATTTGTACTTATTTGATTAATATCTGTCTCTCCAACTAGACTGTGAGCTCCATGAAAGCAATGAGGTTTTGTTCTTCATTGTAACCTTAGAATCTACTTTACTGAGGTGCTCAATTAATATTTATTGGATGGATGGATGGATGGATGGATGGATGGATGGATGGATGGAAGGATGGATGGTTGGATGAATGGGTGGATGGATGGATGGATGGATATATGGATGGGTGGACTGACTATGTTCAACTTCAATAGCAAACCTTAAAAATCCAAAATCAAACTAAATTGTCAAGGAAGATAATAAATGCATAGATTGACTTTGGGGGCTATACTTGGAGAAAGAAATCAGCAGTTCTCGCTGAACTCACAGCAAGTGGTCACTGCTCCTCTGAAAAAGCACTTAATAAATTTTAATTGTGTTGGCTCTTCAGGGCTAGAGACCAAGTTTTTCTGGTTCATCTCAACATTTTACGTGCCTACATTTAACAGGCACTTATTCAATGTTTGGGGGTGGGCAATGTTTAGGGAACAGAAGGGACCTAATCTCTTAAACTCAGTGGACCCCGATGTCCCTAGATAGATAGTGTTTGCCTTCCTCATTAGAGTTTCCTGCCTCCCCATATTTTCCCAGCTTTACCAAAGCTGCTAATCCTCTAATTTTTTTAAACATCAGAAAAGCAGAGACCAAATTGACTAAATGACCTGTCCAAAGTTACATGCAAAGTTCATTACTGAGTAAGCATTACAACTCCAGATCTATGCTCCTTCCACGTCATTATTCTACAAAACTCTCTAGGGAAGCTGGCACCAAGCTGACCAAACTACCAGAACCTTAGTTAAAATAGCCTGGTACAAGAATTCTAAATTCTGAATTTAGTCTTACAAAAAGCAAACAAACAAAACAAAATGAAACTTAAATAGTGAGTGAGCTCTAGTCCCCATGAAACATTCTCAAGAAAAAGGGATAATTTAGACATTTTTTAAATGAGAGAAGCTTAAAATACATCAAAAGACAAAATATAACACCATGTGTTGAAAATATCTTTTTTTATTATAAACAATATAAACTCTTCCTAATACATTTTGCAAACATAACACATTTTCTTTTCTTTGCCTGAGTTTTTATAAATAAGATCTCTCAGACCCCTCGATAGCCATTCATATATTCAATAAATGCCAAGTGCCAGGCACTGTAAAAAGTACTGAGGAGCCGAAACCGGTTTGGCTCAGTGGATAGAGCGTTGGCCTGCGGACTGAAAGGTCCCAGGTTCGATTCCTGCCGAGGGCATGTACCTGGGTTGCGGGCACATCCCCAGTAGATGTGCAGGAGGCAGCTGATCGATGTTTCTCTCTCATCGATGTTTCTAACTCTCTATCTCTCTCCCTTCCTCTCTGTAAAAAATCAATAAAATATATTTAAAAAAAAAAAAAAAAAAAAAAAAAAAAAAAAAGTACTGAGGAATTTGTTTTAAAGGGAGAGAAAAAGACATTGTTGCAAATCCTCAGGAGGACCACAATCTATTTAAACTGTTTTTTTTATCTTGATGTCTCTGTTTTAACATACCTCCTTTCTATATATAAGATATATTTTGTCTATATCTATAAATAAGATAGCCTATATACCCAAGGTAAATTAGACAACTGAAACAATTGTCTTGATAAAAATAGGGTAAAAGTGCTACTTTGAATCTTAATCCAATAATTTTATGAGAAATTATCTTAGATAATTTTTATAACAATTTTAATACTTTACTTTGATTTTTTTGAAAGACCTGAAATATTTGACTACAGAGAGATTGTTCATCTTTAACTTCTATAAATAAGCAAAGAGATATTTGTGTTCTTTGAAAGTAGCCATTGAGTCATTGTTAAAAGTAAAATTAAACAGAATCCAAAGGCCTCATCTACTGTCCTCACTATTAGTCTCTGTCTCCTACCTTTAGTGACATTGATATAGCTTTAGTGTCTGTATGAAAAGGTACATATACACCCAAATCCTTCAATGCAAAACCCATATTATATCTTTGCAAAGTTGTTTACAATATATTTATTACAGACACTTCCCTTTATTTTTCTATAGCTACCATATGGTACCCCCCAAATTCTATTTTATACTATTTTATATTTTTTGACAAAGATGACTTATTAATTATATAAATGTGATATACTTATGCCTTTGCAAAATTTCCATATAAATATATTAAAAATTATGCTAACTCTCCTTGACAAACCATTTATGTTTCATTTTTTGATGCTGGGAAATATTGTCAGTTATTACTTCTATATAGGACACAGAAATTAAATGATCCTTAGAGAAATTGAATTTTATTACTTTAAAATTCAATGTGGTTCCAGCCACGCATAGCCATATAGATATTATATAGTCAAAGATAACTTACTAAAGCTTGTTCACAGAACGAAGCTTTCCCTGATATCTGCCCCTCCCCCATCCCCTCCCTCCCAGATCCTTGAATCCTTATCCCAAATGTTCTTCAGGATTTAAATAACAACATTTAAAAGACACTTAACACCACAATAGGGAATTTGCTGGCATGACCCGAACAACACGGTTAGTCCAGATGCTGTATTCAAACTGTATGGGTCCGTTGAAAAAATAGATATAACCTATAAGAAAAAGACCAAAAAAAGAAAAATTAAATTTGAAAACAGTAAGGGTTTACTCCAGCTACTCTTAAAAAGCCCATTCTGCCAAATGCCATTTTTTAAAAAATATGCCAACATTTACTTATCTTTATAAACCCTGCTAACGCTTTACTATATTGCTTATAGTTTGAGGGGGAAAGGTCTAAAGTTTCCCAGCTCACCTAAATTATCACCTCAAGTTAGTTGTCTTTTCATGAGTTCTTGTTTTGATGCCTGAAGTATTGATATTAGTTATTTATTTTAAGTTGGGGGTTATATCCCTTCTCATAATTAAAGTAAAAATCATTATACAATTATGATAGCCATTGATCTTCATATATAAAGTACTCCCCACTCTACCCCTCATTTGAATTATGGCAATACTCCTGCATCTTGGCATCTTTAAGCATGGTTTTAGATAGTGTTTAAGGTTTGACAATCATTAAGTAAAATTCTCATTTATGCTAAGCATGATATTTTTTGCTTGCTGTCTGTGGAAGTAGTCACACGGACGGACTAACTCCTTCATGGCAACATTTATGAGCACATCTAAGTCCTATATAAAAATCCTTTATAAGGGAATGAGTTTGAGGGAGTATAGAGCACTCCATTATGGCCAGTGCAACGGAATTAGTTACCATTTTTCTCGTAGACAGCATCTACATTATCACCGATTCCT